CTCTATCAGATTCGGCCATTAGTACGGGAAGAAGAGCTGTCCGCGCATCCTTCTTCACCCACTCCATCTCCCTGCAAGTAGTCACAACAAGTCAAGGCACGGCATGACAATACCACCACCACAATCATCACCACCAGCACCACAATCATCACCACCAGCACCACAATCATCACCACCAGCACCACAATCATCATCACCACCACCACCACGACCAGCACCACCACGACCAGCACCACCACCAGCACCACCACCAGCACCACCACCACCACCACCAGCAACGACGGCAATGACATCGACAAAAAGAAAAACACCAACAGCATTAGCAACAACAACAATCACACGTGTTATCTCGTACTGGTCACTGGCTGTCGTGAGAAGAAAGATTTGCAACAACAACGGGTCTTTAGCAGTCGCGGCCAAGGAAAATAGCTATTGGCGATTTTTGTACTACAGTAATCTGACAATGGGTGACTGGCCCGAAACGTCAATGATAAAAGAATTTTCATCTTAAGAGTGAATAGCAACTTAATAGAGCGGTTGTCAGTTGACAACCCCCCTTTTATTTATTAGTAACAGCAGAGGTGTAAGAATGTCATTTGCACACATTTAGACCCTCCCCCCCCCCCCCCCACACACACACACAGGTACACACACTACGCACTACAGTCCATTTCAAAACTATAGACGCGTACTTAGGCAAAAGCCGTTATGCCAGCAACTATACCACATAAAATCTGTGATCACTTTGTGCATAATTTTTTCCAAATTGGGCGTCTGTTATCCAATCGTTTAGAAACTTTATGAGAGTAATTGTGGAGCGGTCCTGAGAAATATTCCGAAAACTATTCTCAAAAAGTTCCAGCCAAATTTGAAATATTTCAAAAACCCTACGCGTCTATAGTTTTGAAATGGACTGTAGTTTGTGAGGAAAAACACGTCAAAACTTACGGAAAATATTCTTTAAAATTGTTCCCCAGGTCCACCCCGCTCATTCCGGGCTTGGAACAAAAATGAAAAAAGTGCTCCGGATTGGACTTGAACATACACACGTGCATTCCTGGCAGGTTCTCTGTAGACGTCGACTAGAGTCTAGAGAACACATTTGCCCAGAATGCTACTGGGTACTGGCTGCCAGCTCGTCAGCCCGTTTGTTCAGGCGCGCCTCCCCATCAGCCGATTCCGAGACGAGTGCGGCCAATGTTTTTAGGATTTCTACCGCAGATAACTCAATGCCCTGCAACGACGCCATCAGCCTCAGCTCTTCATCACTCAGGGCAGTCGCACGAGTGTTTGTTCTCGTGGTAGCCCCAGGCATGGCGGAGGTCACCAATTTCTACGAGTACTACTAGAAACACTTACTGCTACCCTACGGAAACTACCTCCAGTCCGGCCTGATGCCGGCTGGACTCTACCAGGAAAGATTTACGGACTTGCGTAAGGTGACATCCAGCGTCGCCACCACCAACGTTGCCAGTGAAAGAGCATTCGCTCAGCTGGACAGACGGTGTCGGGAAAAACCCCACGCATCCCTCATCGCCAGCGCTGCGCAGAAATCGCAAAATTCCGACATCAGGAGATCATCGCGAAAGAGTCTGATCGCCAGTCGAGAGAAAAGCGTGCCCTGAAAGTCCGACAGCAACTCTCTGTGGCCATCGGACAGGCTGGTTGCTGGACAGTCACGAATATGATAACCAGCAAACTGGCAGGGATCGCCACCGTGTCAGGCAAGGTGGGCGCACTCAAGACACAGCTCAAATCCCGCAAGGTTGTCCTGCAGCAGAAAGCTGACAAGAAATCGTTCCAGTTCTCGCATGCCGGCAAACAACTCACTTGGCAACAACTACCTGCAAATCTATTTGAACTTGTCGGCAGCACGGTGACCCCAGTCACAACTTCAGCAGTAGAAAGCAGCACCAGCGACATCTTGAATGGCAAGTGAGTTATCACGACTCGTACAGTTTCAGAATTGCATGTGCATCAATTTGTTTCCATAACTAGCGATTAGCACCGTATTTTCGGCGTAATACTGGCCGAGGCGCTTAGTAGTTTGCGAGCCCTAAATGTTCACCCAATTTGAAAAAATCCACACAAACGCCCTGAAATGGCGCAGCGCTTATTTCAGACAGGCGGTAATAAAAGACCGGGGCTAATTTTCAAGACACCCGTTGGTTGAGGGAAGGGAAAAGGGGGAAAGTCTGAATAAAAATTTTACTGTCACCACCAGGGACCTTGGCTTGAGGCCAGCGATGCTCTAACCCCTGCGCTAAGTGTAGCTGTCATCCCAGCAGAGACCATTCAAGATACAGTATTCATTCAAGATACGGTATGATTGTGTCATCAATAATACCACCGAAGTCACAACTTCTAAGTTGGTATGCATTCAAGCTGCGGTACGCATTCAAAACGTGACGGGGCTGACTGTGCACAATGCTGCGGGCTAGATATACACCGAGTCAACGCACAAGTGATTTCTGAAATAAGAACTGGGTTGGAGGTTGCACGGAGCTGCACACTCTGGAGAGTTATACGGCCTGGCCAGAAAAAGCCGCTTCAATCAGCTGTGTGGTGGATACCAGGTTAAAATTAGTGGTCAATTCGTCAGCCTTGCAAGCTGTTGAATGATGTAATTCCAGCACAAGTTGCTATGTCTAACATAGCTGTTCGCTATCATCGCTTCAGCGATGGGCATGTCTGAGTCTGAGAGGCTGAGTGTGTGTGTGTGTGTGTGTGTGTGTGTGTGTGTGTGTGTGTGTGTGTGTGTGTGTGTGTGTGTGTGTGTGTGTGTGTGTGTGTGTGTGTGTGTGTGTGTGTGTGTGTGTGTGTGTGTGTGTGTGTGTGTGTGTGTGTGTGTGTGTGTGTACATACGCATGTGTGCGCGTGCGTTGTGAAGCCTCACTTCATCCAATTATTTATTTTCGAAACACAAAAATGATGATCTGAAACAGCGTCGCAGGGAATCCTCGCTCTATATGGCGGCTGTAACTGAAATGCATGGCTCCTGCTACATCGATTCTACCCAAACACAAACACAACGGACGAGGGCCGACCAACTACATGCACATCTACATTGTACTACGTATGAGCGGATATGCAGCAGGACACATGACCCGCCGCCGATTCAGTGGCAGGAGTAAAAGTTCAACAGAGTCCTCAGCATGCAGCGTCCCTTTCCCTGCTAGTGTATTCTCTCTTACGATGGGCTACTTGCGCAGGTCGAGTCCTGCGCACCAGCCGCCGCGGCCATGTCCAACACCGGCGCACTGACCATCAATACAAATAATCCACCGTTCCCACTTTCCCGCAATCAACACAACTGCTACTCACTTGTAATAGGCACGATGCTTCATGAAGATATAACCGTTCACTGCGTGGAAGCCAACCAAGAATGCCCAGCCTTTCCATCCAAATATCTTGCTCGCCGAAATCCTCTTCCAGGTGATGTCGCCAAAGCCTCCCTTTGGAGGCATGTCTTGGCGGTAGGTGGTGGCCATTGTGGCCCTTCTGCGACTGGTTCTCAATAAATCCTCTTCCTAGGTCCGGCCGACGAAGATCGATGGACAAGTGATAGAAACCCACTGAGTCTGTACTGGTCGTTGCTGATCACGATCGATCACGTCGTTGCTGTTGGTTGCTTCTTGAAATTCTCGTTCCTGCAAAAAATATTGAAGGACATAGCAGTCACGCAAGATGCACATCTCACGTCAGAGCATGATCGCTACAAAAAAGTACTCTGTAGAGCTACGCAGCAGATCTCGGGTGCATGCTGCTGCTGGGTCTGGACTCCAGTCTCCAGACTAGACTCTGGAGTGCAGTGGAGTCTACAAAAAACGAGCAGGGCCAGGGAGTCGTAAAATACCACTCCCTGGACTGTACATGTAGTCTGGGTCATGTCGTCGCGCGGGTCCCAACCAGGGAGCCCTACCAACCGCGCGCGCGGGACCCGTCCGAGCCGAGGGCCCGAGGCAAGGGATCCACTGCTACTGAGAGTAGATATTTTACTACTTTCAGAGCTTCACACATCGCCCACGCACTGTTTTGGCTTTTCAAAAAAAAAAAAACTGGTGTCACATGTGTCACGTGAAGTGACTGTGTGTGTACGTAGTCGTGTGACGGCAAGTGAGAAAATCTGTTGTACGTCGCGTTTTTGGATCTTCCTCACAGAAAAGCATCGGGCACAACCTTTCTGGTAGCCAGGAGGTTCTCCGCATTTTTAGCTTTCCAGTTTGTCGTCTTGTTCTTCTGTAGTCACCGATTATTCATTGGAGGCTCATGCAGCTCCTAGCTGTTTCTTGAAGTTTTTAGTGTTTAGTATTTGCTGTTGGCTGTACACGGATGCCGCCTTCCCGCCTTTAGTAGTAGTCTGGATCGTAGCGGGGATGCGTTGTGCTTGGAAGTAGTCGGTGAGGAGAAAGCGGCCTATAACTATTTCACCAACTTTCGCCCTGGTGGGCTGCCGTCAGGGATATGGCCGATGCAAAAAAAGCCTCGACTGTTCGCACCGCGAACAAGGATAAAGATAGATCGGACCGCGGCACCAGTGGAAAGAGCTCGTCCGGTGGGTCCAGTGCCTTGATGGTTGGACCCAACTTCAGAGTTGGCAAGAAGATTGGCTGTGGAAATTTTGGAGAACTACGCCTTGGTGAGCTTGCATATCAAGACTCCAGAGAGTCACGATTGTTGTCAGTGCTGAGATTTCCATTCCACTCGGTGGTCCCGGATCATTAGTGACTTGTCCTGTTTCGCTTGAAAAAAACGACGAGTTGGTATACTCATTGTGCAAATTACAGAAAATTATTATAAACAAGAGCTGATTTTCTACTTTTCTTTGTGCCGTCTCCGTTTAATCATTCCTAGGAAAAAACCTGTATACGAATGAATACGTAGCAATCAAATTGGTAAGTGCTGTCTCATTTCTGAAAGTTTTGTGTGAGCTGTTTGACTTTCTTCTAGAAGTGTAATTGTTGGTTGGTGAATTGCTTGTATTTGCATAGAACCAGATGACAATGTCAGCAGTTGCTGGGTGAATTTGTCTGGGCTATATCCAATGTTTTCTTGTAGCAAGTTTAGCACAAAGTGCAGTCTAGGTGACAACAAATCAATCTACTCCACGGCTCACACAATGAACTCACTGTGTTCCGTGGAAACACAGAATGCAGTGCTTGATGATTTGCCGGCTGGTTGTGCATGTTTTGTAGTTTATTTTAATCCATTCCGCTTTTGGGGGGTCCAAAGTCTCTGCAATTTTTGTGCTGGCTTTCGTTGCTGTTGCCACTGCTGTTGTGAAACAGGAACCGATGAAATCAAGAGCACCGCAGCTGCACCTGGAGTATAGATTTTACAAGCAGCTATCAGATACAGGTAAGGGGTGGCAAGAGACACACTGGGTGATTGGCACCATCTTCATGTTTTGTTTTGTTTTGCTCCAACTAGTCCTTACTTACCATGCCACTATTACTTCCGACAGGAATTTATCATCTGGGTGGATAAGCCGGACGACGTTTGGTCTCCCAGCAGCACACATGGCGAGGTCGCGATGTGTCCTGACTGTGCGTGTGCGTGTGTGCGCGCGGTAGTAGCACGTGTCACTGATCTGCGCTCCCTGACACTTCGGAGGAGAGTCGTGTCATATGTGTCCGTGTCGCTGTCATAATGTCCTGTCACCGCATGTCCATATGCAGTGCCAGTTGATTTACTACCACATGTCTACCCTCGTTAGTACGACATCGGTTCAAACGCGTACATTCAAGTCCGGATAGTACATGTAGTCCAAGTCCGGATAGTAGATATTACTCGACAGAACAAAATTGAAACCCCCAGTGTTGTTTACCAACGAGGGTAGACCTGTAGTGCCCCTTCTACTCCAATCTCTCTATCTCTGCGCCTGCCCTATGATTATGACCTATTGAATAGGGTAGAAAGGAAAAGGACATATGGATACGAGTTAAGAGTAACTATCCACCGCTCTAACTGCAGGCATGAATTTATCCGGTATCGCATCGCAGTTTGCTATGCAAAATCGATCTACTGCTACTCAAAAATCACCGCAACTAGCAGAAAACTGCGATACATACAGGCTGTCCATGCCTAGCTTGCGCCGTCAAGTAACAAAAAGTGCTATGCAAAAAATACCGGTAAATTCATCCCTGAACTAGATAATATAATTATACAGTCGGAGAGTGCAACAACTAGGCGCAAAACTGACAGAGTACTGAGACATTCATAATAGGGTTGTTGCCTAAACCACATACAGTGAAACTTGTCTAAGACGACCGCTCGAGGACCTTGGAAACGTGGTCCCTGTTACCAGGTGGTCTCCTGATCCAAGATCATTTGACCGGACATAGTATCCCGTGGCCCTGGTTGCAGTGGTCGTTCAGGACAGGTGGTCGGCCTGGACAGGTTTCACTGTAGCGCTGTGGTGCTACTCGCTTTGACACTCACAGCTGCTCTACTGGCACCGTACAAATCAATGCTCGAGTCGACCCACCACTGCACTAGCCCTGTGCAGGGTGCTATTCTTGCATGCAGGCACGCAACAGTGGACTTCTATGCTGGTCCATTGCTACAGTTGAGTAAAATTGGCAATAGGCATACAGTACCAAAATGTACAGGAGCCACCCCTTGATGTAGTCACCATTGCCTTGGACCAAGAGTACATGAAAACCAGAGTGGGCAGGTTGGGGCTTTCTACTATGGGTGTCTGTCACGGCCGAATTCCGTGATTTGATCACATTTGGTGCAGATCTGAGGCGGGAAATGGCGTAGTGTGTACAACTGAGCTGCAGTTGTGCAGAAAGAGACCTGCTTGTACGCACTACATCACGAAAATGATGTCATCACGGAACTCCGCCGTGACAGCAACCCATCCGAGCTGCACACTCTGGTTTTCATTTACTCTAATTTCAGAACTTTTCGGTGCTCAATATTTTCGGTATGAGGGCAAAAGGCCAGGTTAGGTGAACAGAAATTTTCGGTACAGCGAACAGTTCCCTATTGGATTATGTGTGTTAGTGTTTGTTCGGTGTATTGAAATTTTCGGTATGAAGCAGATGCACCGAAAGTACCGAAAATAAAAGTACACCGAAAATTTGTGAAATTAGAGTACTCTTGCTTGGACCCATCCTTGTATTCACGCTGATCATGTGTGGAGCGTGCAAATGGTAGGTACAGTGCTACTCGGTGAAATCCAGTTGAGTCACTCAAGTACGTGCCGGGCGTTACTCAGTCCTAGACCTGCAAACACTGGGCTGCACAGTGGTGCAAGGCGCGAGCTTGAGTGACACAACCGGATTTCATTGAGTAGTACTGTACAATGGAACCGGTGACAACTTGAGCCGGAAACAAAGAGGTCACCTGACTTCTGCTCAATACAGTCTAGGGTTTCAATTTGAATCCATTCTTACAGTGCAGCTCTCCATCATACTTTCTGGTGCGGATATACACAGACGAATCCTGCGGGCTACAACCCCATCCCATACCAGCTCAGTCTCTAGTGTAGGGGCAGTGCTGGTGTAGGAGGTCAAGCTTGGTCAGGCGCATAGGTGCGTGAAGGCAACTGTGTGCTGACATCTGCAGTAACTTAGTGTGTGGCATGCACTGCAGGCGCCAGCATAACTGCTGGTGTACTGTTGCTAGTACTGTTGCTAGTACATTTGCGAGCGTGTGTCTTACGCAAGCTCCTACTCTAGTAATACCAGTCTCTCTCTCTCTCTCTCTCTCTCTCTCTCTCTCCATCTCCCTCTGACTAGTACATATGCGCACACTCGAACACATAGTGGCCACAAATCTTTCTCTTGCTCCATTTTGAGATACGTCAAGAAAGTCTGCACGAAATGTGTGTGTGGTGGGGGTCTCCTTTGAGCAAGAGGGTGCTCGAAGGACAGCTGAGCTCGATGCTCGAGTGAGTGCCGCACAGCAGACATTGCTGGTGTCGCTTCTGTTTCTCTCTGTACATTGGGTGTCTCCTTGTTGATCTCTATCGGTTCTTGCTTAGAGTGTGTAACGTCATAGTGCACAACATGGCATGCATTCCACATAGCCTGGCATATATCCACACAATGCTCCACTGTGAAAAGTGAAACAGCTACGGTACTGCAGCAATCTACGGTACTACTACTAGCCAGAGAAATCCAACACCTCATGAATAAATGGCGCCATGCGCTACACAGCCCTAGCACTGCGCACGTACTGTTCTGTGCACTCGAATGCGGCGCTGCTGCATTCATGAGGTTGGATTTCTCGGGCCAGAACTGTACATCCCACCACCGCATTGCATTGCTGAAGACTGCTACATTGCATTCCTCTCCGTAGATATTCTGTGCACTGAAGTCCAAGCGCTGAGCCTAGAATAATGGAAGAAACTGAACAACGCCCTTACTGGGTGTGATAACTTCCTTCAACATGCACTACCCGCCCGCAGAGATCTAGCTGGCTTTGGTTCAGTCGATTTTCTGTCAGTCACGCTAAGCTGCTACATGTTGTTTCCAAACCTAATCCTGTACACATACTGGAGAGCCGGGCTAGGGTGCACACTGCGCTTCGCCGGATTGAAAGGTCTTCTTTTGCGCAGCCCTTGAGTGCCAGTCCATCGATGACAGGAAGTTCTAGACTGGCAGGCTGTGTGCCGATTTCCCCCAACACTGCCTCTTATTATTATAATGATCATGTCGCAATGGTACAGACATCTACATTCTGCCTATTGTTCCTCTGACCACTTCCTGTTTTGTTTCTCATCTTTGTCTTCCCTGCCTCTGTTTGTCTCTGTCCGTCTGTCTTTCTGTACGTCTCTCTCTCTCTCTCTCTCTCTCTCTCTCTCTCTCTCTCTCTCTCTCTCTCTCTCTCTCTCTCTCTCTCTCTCTCTCTCTCCTCTCTCTGTTGCTATTGTTGCTGGTTGATGTGGTACAGATGGTTTCCCAAAGGTACACTACTTTGGACCATGCGGCAAGTACAATGCAATGGTATTAGAGCTACTTGGCCCCAGCTTGGAGGACATGTTTGACTGTTGTGATCGCTACTTCTCCTTGAAGACAGTCCTGCAGATCGCACTGCACTTGGTAAGACAGTGTGCTCTCACCCTCACCCCTAGTGCTCATTGCCCACAAGAATGTGCAAATCCAGCTATGGGGTCTGCGGTAGCAGAACTTCACATCACCTGATAAACCCATGCACATTATTTGCACCCTGTGCGTGATTTAATGCAACAATCTCTCCTCCTCTTCTCCTCCATACGCTCTCAGCTGACACGTGGCTACTCTCGGTCGCCATTACACGCTCACCAATAATTACAAACATTGAAGGGGTTACAGATACTGCAAGTATTGTTACTGATAATATTCCGCCTGACAGCTGTTTCGCCTACTAACGGCTCGTCAGAGAAGGTGATACTGAATATGACACTGTAATTGACATGGCAAATATCAAGAGTACATACCCCCCCCCCCCAGAGTGTGCAACGCCTGATCCAGCTCTGCATAGGGTCTTGGTCGAGCGTAATCGGATCATTGCGTCATAATACCGTACACATCTGAGGGGAACCCGGGGAGTCGCGGGTACTCTCGAATCAAAAACAACGGTGCCCTGCCTCGAGACCGGCCTTGAGCTGGTGTGGAGTGTACTCATGACATCAGAAGATCGACCAAGACTCTATGCAGAGCTGGATCAGGCATCGCACACTCTGGGAGGTGTGTACTCTTGCAAATATTTATCGGGTACATTACGGGCACAAGAAACTAGGCAAGGTGTTACACTGAGAAGCTGCGAGAAAATTCTCAAAGCAGCACGCAGTGCCCAGGGTTCTAAGGAAAATACCTGGTGAGAAATCACAACCTTCTAACATTTCGTAGGGCTCGAGAATGGAGCACAGATGTGTTGTGCACCCTTATGCGCTATGCGAGAAGCACATGATGCACACAAGAGTACGCTGTAGTCAGACGTACATTGCCACCACCTTTCCTAGCTGCATACCCGGCGATTGACCCTAGACCAGACATGCTTGTGTACAACGTGCACCGGCTGCAGTGTTAGTGTTGGACTGAAGCGACGTAGACAGTCATGTTGGTATTAAAACAATTCTCTCACAACAAGACTGTTGAAGTTCTGGCAGTTTCCAACTACCGTACTCTGCCCCCTCTTCACAGCCTACTACAGTTGCGCTCGGTGAAATCCGACCGAAAGTGCAAAGCTGGCGCCCTAGACCACATCGGGTTACGTTAAAGGGGAAGTCCGGTGAAAACCCAGATCCAGGTGATGACGTCACAGCGTGCAGCCAGGTAGCCACACCATCTAGTCGTGTACAAAATGGCCATATTCGGAGCGCGTTCGATTGGGGAACCGTTTGTCGCAGCTTCTTCGGACCAAGACCATTCGATTCAGTGTTACAAACACTACGTACCCTGTGATTTGCAGCTCGGTAAACCTCGAGGTTATACCGTATTTTAGCCGTTTCCGAGTTGGACTTTTTCCGTCAGTGCGCTACGGCTCTAGCAATGCGCTGCGTGCGTGCTAGCTGTAGTGCAGTCAACAAACTCATCACACACGGAACTACTCCCGCACTGCCGTGCTGGGCTAGCTACAACAAGACTCGAGACACAACTCACAAGACTCAGAAAACTAGTCAACACACAGACTTGTCATGTACTACACTCATATCAGTCGTATTGTAGATCTACAGTCATGCAGTCAGAGAACGTGCGTTTCTCCTTGCCGGTGCCGGTGGTTGTGCTTTGAGAAAGAAAAATTTAGTTTTCCGCTCCAGTCCAGCCTCATTATTTTATGCTTCAGCGATGGGTGCACAACCGTGACAAGTGACAAAACAGCGAACAGCTCCCGGACCTAGAACTTTCAGATTCCATAGCGTTGCAAGCGAAGAGTCGTGCCCGTGGTTCAAAGAGCCTGCACTGTTCTCGAGTAGTCCGAAATATGCCAAGTTCGCACCAAAACATCACCATGTGGCAGGCTACTGGAGTCTAAGGGCCGGGTTCCACTGCGGCTCCGCTGCTCGTCTTTCACGGCTTGAAACATCATCATTACCATAGTGACCGCGGCTCGAGCTGGAGCAGCGAGTCCGCGGCTCACCGCGAGCTTTTGCTATGATTCTTGACCAAAAACTGCGAGCCGCGGTCGCGGCTCGACGTGTTTCCCGTACTTTGCATTGTTTTGTATGCCAGAATTTTAAAATTCAAATTTTAATTCGTTGCGCAGGCCAGAACACGAGAATTTTTTGGATTTCGCGCGGGCAGGCAGGTGAAACGTCATCAAAAAGTGTGGAGCACGACCGCGGTACCGCGAATGGCGAGTGTCAGTGGAACCGCGCTGCTCCGCTGCATGCAGCCAAGTGCCGCGGAGCCGCAGTGGAACCCGGCCCTAAGCGAATCGGTATGGAACAACATTTAGAGCACTCGCATCACTCTGCTCCATTTTGGCGACCCTGCTCTCCAGCAATCTGATAATTATATCAGCCTCGTCTGCAAATAGCTGCTGCTTCTTCATCAGTCGGAAACTCAGTAGCGCTCACTCGTGACCGGCCCGCGCGGCCATTTCTTCAGCTGAATACCGAGGTTCTCAGCCCCAGACCAAACTCATGAAGATCAGCCATGGCTGCATCCTCACTCTCACAAGGAATTAGGTCTTCGGGGTCGCTTGCACCACCTAATATCAGTCGCCAAATCATTTGAAATAGCACTGACACTATTGCTTTCACGCACTCCTTTTGACCTAGCTGCACGCTATGACGTTGCGGAGGGTGTGGCGCGGCCGCATGACGTCATGGCGCAGCCCCCGAAACTCAGTTTTTCAAACGGAAATATCTCGAGAACGCTTTGACGGAGACACGTGGGACCAACACCATTCGACTCAGCGCCCGAAACTCTACCGACCCTGAAATTTAAATTTGTCACCAGACTTCCCCTTTAATGTGCAGTAAAACCTGTAACTAACGACCACCCCTTGGGACCAGAGAAAGCGGTCTTTAGTGGCAGGTGGTCCTTATTATTTTAGATGTTTGCACCGCACAACCATAATATATGAAAGTGAGACCGTCCGTGCCTGGCGAAGTGGTCTGTAGTACCAGGCTCGGGATCGCTAGTCACGGTGGTCTTTAGTTACAGGTTTTGCTGTACTTGTACAAGTGTACGTCCACGCAGTGCTGGTTCAGGCTTCGAACTTCTCTGCTCCTTTTACCTTGTCGTATAGCAACCATGCGATTGCATCATCAGTTGAGGTGCTTTGGCAAAGCCCCAGCACCGCGATGCACTAGGTAAAGCGAAACCGCCGACTCGCGCTGTATACTTTGCTCCCGTAATCCAATCCGATAGTTTACCACTACGTCATCCGTTGTTGCATAACCTCTATTGTTTTCGTTTGGTGTATGTGTGTGTGTGTGTGTGCACTTTTGGTCTGATGTCACCGAGCACGGCTGTACTGCTGTGACAGCGGTGCTAGCTCAGGCAAGATGTTCACTACTTCTGTGCTCTTTTTGTACTTATGGTACTGTTTTCGTTTGGTATGTATGTTGTCGGTGCACAGCTCGATCGGTTTGAGTTTATTCATAGTAAGCACTTAATCTACCGGGACGTGAAACCGGAAAACTTCCTCATGGGCCCGCTGTACGACAAGCGCCGCTCCAAGATGGTGCACGTCATTGACTTTGGCCTGGCCAAGGAGTACTACGACCCGGAGACCAAGAAGCACATCCCCTACCGGGAGCACAAGAGCCTGACGGGCACGGCGCGCTACATGAGCATCAACACGCATTTAGGAAAAGGTGAGCGCCGAGCGTATCTACGTGTATGTTACATACAGTGGAGATCGGATATAACGACCTTGCATATAACGACAGATTGAGTTTAGCGACACAATTCTGTTGCCCAAGTCGTTTAGTAAGTCCTTTGTGAAGATCGGGTTTAGTGACAGATCGAATATAGTGACATTTTGTTCTCTCCCGGAGGAGTGTCGTTATATCCAATCTCCACTGTACCTACCAACCATCCCGATTTGGCCCGGGTCCGTCCCGATATCGCAGAGTGGTACTATGCACCCAAAAAGTGCATTTGTCACATGCTTCAGCTAGATTTGGTGGTATGTCATTGTCCCGATCTCGGGGTTTGCGAAGGCTGGCAGGTATGATGCTAGCTTCATTTTCACTTCACCGTCATGGGTACAGACATTGCTGCCTTCTTCCTGTGGATCATGAATGATGCCATTGGCAGGACGGTAGGGTTAGCAAATGTTATAACCATCATGATGAATTATTTGTATGTGTGCACGTGCCAAATATGGCGCACTCATTTGCAACATGATGCGGTGGTGAATGGGACTTTCGATCTCTGACCGCTTGGTCTGATCTACTCGATCCGGCCACCTTCGGCCAGCTTATGAGCTGCGTCTAATGCCGTGACTCTTGACCCTGGTTGACGTGCCTACAGATCGATGAGATGTAGGTGCATCTTTTTATTTTGGTTATGTTGCCTGTGATCGTGGACCTGTTCCCTTTGCAAATGTTGTGACAACCGTTGAGATGGTTGGACACACAATAGACTTGTTTCACATCTTCGTCCTGTTACTAGTACTAAATTTAAGTAGAACGTGATCAGACATACATGTAACATTTGTGCGGTGGAACCAACATGGCCAACGTCATGTGACCAATACTAGAATAGGGGCAGGATTTGAGTGGAGTTGGAACCAACATGGCTGCCCTGTATGTGATGTGATAGATGTGAAGACACTCTATTCCCGCTGTCCCCCTTGATGGTGGCGCTTGTCGTGGGGGCCTGCTTCGGGCAGTACTAGTATCATACGGGCTTCACTTCACCTCCGCTCTGCTGTCTGTTTGCTCTGCTCTTCGTGGGGGGGCCCTGCTGAATGTGCTGCGCCAGTCCTGCTTTGGGCAGTACCAGTATCATACGGGCTTCTCTTCACCTCCGCTCTGCTGTCTGTTTGCTCTGCTCGTCTTGTTGTTTTTGTTGTTGTTGTGCACAGAGCAAAGTCGGCGAGACGACTTAGAAGCTCTTGGCCACATGTTCATGTACTTCCTGCGCGGCAATCTGCCCTGGCAAGGACTCAAGGCTGACACGCTAAAGGAGCGCTATCAGAAAATTGGTGACACGAAACGGGCGACGCCAATCGAAGTGCTCTGCGCCGACTTTCCAGGTAGGCTTCCGTGCACACACATTACAAAACTGTACGTAAGCCGCTTTCAGTATATTCCGGAGTATACGCCGCACTTTACCTTTACCCCCCCCCCCCCCCCCCCCCGCAATAAGTCGGTGTGGCTGCTTATACGACCATGGTCAAATGAACCGTGCCATACAGCGTAGATATGTGTATTCCGTGGCAAAATATCTGAGTGAGGCTTTTACTCCAGAAAATATGACACGTCAATATTCCCAAAGGACCACTTTGGCCCAGCCTAGCGCAAAAATGGGGTCCTGGTTTCTGCTGGAGTAGAGCGGCTTTTGAAAGCTGTGTTTTACCTAGTCACTCTTCAGACTATGTACATAACTTCGGGTGCGTTCTTAAATCCTCTCGGAAAAGTTGAAGAAGTGATCTTGTAAGGTAATATAGGCGCCGTCAAGAGTAGATAAACAAGAGCGTGCAACTCCGGGATGAGTTGGCCCACGGCGGAATTTTTTGTTGACATCATCTTTTCTACGACGCACGTGATGCGAGTCTTTTGGAAAGTTTTGCCTTGTGCACTTGGCCAGGCTTTACATTACAAGGTCGGTGCCCAGCACGTGCTCTCACATTGCTCTGCGGCAAAATGCACGTTTTCTGAAGAAGACAAAAAGGTGACGTCAACAAAAAATTCCGCCGTGGGCTGGAGTATCTGCAGATTGTGCAGTAGAGATCCGGAGTTGCTCACTCTTGTTTATCTACTCTTTGCGCCGTCCATCTGGCCCATAGAAAAGAGATCACGGGCACACACTCTTCGTCATAGGGCGTGTTTGGTTGGTACGGTCTAGAACAGCTGATGGACACGGAGCTCACATGGATACCAGAACCTCATTCCAATACTTCTCTCCCCCCCCCCCCCCCCCCCGCTTATCTCTTATAGGAGCCTGGCCAATAGTCTGGTGAGAAGGCATCCGTGTCTGATCATTTGATGAAGAATAATAACATACCATATTAAACATAATTGAAACTGTCCTCCTCTTCACACTGCCTTCTTGGCCCACATTCACCACATCAAGAGCACCGTGTGGAGAGGGGTGGACAGTTTCAAATTATTTTGAAATGGCCGAGTCTGTCGCAGCTTCCGAGTTACCTTCTTTTCCTCTCGTTCTCTTGCTCTCTCTCTCTCTCTCTCTCTCTCTCTCTCTCTCTCTCTCTCTCTCTCTCTCTCTCTCTCTCCCTGTGCTCGGCAGAGGAAATTTTCCGTGCCTGATCATCTGTTGAAATAAAAATAACTTACCATAACACACCCTCTTGTTCTCTTGCTCTCTCTCTCCCTGTGCTCGGCAGAGGAAATGTCGACATACTTACGGTACGTGCGGCGACTCGACTTTTACGAAACGCCGGACTACGACTACCTGCGCAAGCTGTTCCGCGACCTGTTTGACCGCAAGGGCTACTCGGACGACGGAACGTTTGACTGGACCGGCAAGGAAATGGTGAGTCATGCTACTGTTGCTGCTGGAGCATTCTCGTACCGAGTCCTTTTGAATTGTTACCGAGACGACTACAGTCCATTTATCCAAAATAGTCCTACTGGCTTTTGAAAGCCCTCGTTGGGCCGAATTGAGGGGCACTATGATGTGTAATGATTCTGAAGGTTTGCCTTTAGCTCACTCATTCTTTCTAGTCCGCTGGCATGCCCCCTCCTCCCTTGGTGCTGCATACTCCTTGGGATCGGTATGCCTGTCTCTGTTGCACCGCGTTTGACGCTGATGCTACCGTTTCACCCTGTTCAATTCCTTGTAGGCTTCGTCGTAGCTTTGCTTGCAGTGCATTTTCATGGTGTACAGTACCGTCGGTCGCCGAAAAACTGTGGAGAATCCATCAAATACTAATACGAAATACGACCTGGGTGTCGGCCTCGTAGCCTAGGCCGTTCTTATTCTCATGCAGTACAGTCTATGTGCAGTTGAGTCAACGTGTATACGTTGGTATGCTGTGCTTGGTGAAATAATTCTAGCCTTTTTTCGTTTTTCGTCTCTCTGTTCTTCTGCACCTGACAGCACTGTGTGTGTACCCTGATAGACCACATGGCTTTGGCCTCTGCTCTCTCTACTGCTGCCAATAGATGATATGCCAAATAACGTGCAACTAGACTTGAGAGGGCATTGCAGAGTAGTTGCATACAAAGTTCACAGTTGTACGGTTACCTGGTGCTTGCATTCCTGCAGAGCTCAGGGCCTGCCATCTACACATTGTAGTAAAATGTGTATGCAACTTGTGTGCGATGCCCTCTCAAGTCTAGTTGCGCGTTACTTGGCATATCATCTATAGTGAAAGCCATTGAGAAGTCAAGCAGCCTTGCAGCAGCCGTGAGCACGGCTGGTCTACCTTTGCACTGTGTACACGATAAGGCAGTAAGGACGCCAGCCCCACTCAGTCCACTGGATTTCAATGTCCACAGCAGTACTACCGTAAAAGCCCGTGTATATGCCCCAGGGCGTATAGAATTATACAGGGTTCGCAGCGAAGTTTGGAAGTCTGGAAAAAGTTTGGATTTTATAATTCAATTTTCCAGGTCTGGAAAAAGTTTTGAAAAGGCGCTCCTTTTGGAATAGTTTGGAAAAGTTTTGAATTTCGAGTTTTTGGCCGTGGATGTGCTGCACTCCTGCAGTGCAAGTGGCCGTTTTGACTACCGCGATAGAAGACGCGCTGGCGATGTGTGGTGTTCACTGATGTACGAGTCTCGTACAGTCATTTCAGTGCAGCTCAAGCGCGGCCGGTGATGACTTTTATTTGGCCGTTTTTCGTTACTGGCGCTCGCGCTCGACTTTGATTCTTTGAAGTCGGGACAGCAGGATGGCGAGGTCCTTTCGCACTCAGATGAGTTTGCTGGCGAGGATGAAGCCGTCTTTTGCGCTGAGACGAACACCAGCTATGTAAATGTTTCATTGGAACCCCTTCTGGAGGCGGATTTGAACTTACGGAGGGGAACTCTCGTCGTATGAATTCCCTTGCTATTTTCGGGGGCTCTAGCTGCTGAATGCGATGCCATTGCAATGTACCTTGGTGAATTTGTTGATGGTAGTGGTACCAGGGAGGATTTTACTACTCCCTGGTTGTACTCGTGGAGAAGACAGTCATGCAGAAGAGATTCATAATTTTTTCCTGCACGAGTGGGTTTGGAAATTCTTGAAATTGGTTTGGAAAAAGTTAGGAATTTTGTGTGCTTGGTTGGCTGCGAACCCTGAGAATAGCAGCCTTGATTTCCTGGGCGTATACTAGGGCACGGGCGTTATTTTGGAACCGGGCGTATACTTGGAATAGGGATAGCAGTAAGTATTGGTATCAGTACCTGTACATGTACTGGTGTTGCCGGCATACCTGGGCGTACACATGGGCATGGGCGTTATTTTGAAACAAAAGTGTTGACTTTTATGACTGGGCATGTACACGGAGAGTGGGCGTATACAGGGGCTTTTACGGTACTTTAACAGTGTTTGTGTATTGTGTTCATTTTCCTGTGCTGCGCTTCAGAAAACGCCCACTGGCCACCTGACTGCAGAGCCGCCGATAACGAAAAGCACGTCGGAGGTGACGACTGGCGGGTCCAAGGGCGACCCAGCTGAAAACACGCCACGCAAGGTAGGGAAATTCCCTCGGCCATGCGTCTCCAACGAATGCATACTTTTTTGTTCACGTTGCAGGCAACGTGTGTAAAGGCATGCCGTTGATGACATCATCAACAGGGCATCTTAGCAGGGAGACTCCTCGTGCCCTTGACACAGAACAAACATGACTTGTGTGCTGGTGACATTGTCAACAGGGCATCTTCGCAGGGAGACTCCTCGTGCCCTTGACACAGAACAAACGTGTATTGGATGCTGGCAATGATCAGTGACATTCCACTAAAAAAAAAGTCAAGAGCTTCCATTGAAAATTGTGACAAGAAAACGTTCTGGAACAGTTTATTCGTTGCTATGGTTGTGATATGAGTGTGCATATAGTTTTATTCATTGCATTATTGAAATAAAAAGAATTCACGGTTCGCTTGAGACTCAATTAGACAGAGTTTTCTGCATCCGTAGGAACGCCGCCACCCTGCACAGATCTAAGGCGCAGATGCAGCTCCTAAAGCATTTTCCCCCGAAACTGTGCGTTGATATTTTGTGTGCTTGTCGTTGTGTTGGTGTGTGTGTGTGCGTGCGTGCACGTGTGTGTGTACTTGTCGTTGTGTTGGTGTGTGTGTGCGTGCGTGCACGTGTGTGTGTACTTGTCGTTGTGTTGGTGTGTGTGTGTTCTCTGTTCTCCTTTCAGAGCATGGCAAGCTGTCGGCTAGGAGTTGAGAACTCGAAGACAGCGCAGGGCTCCACTCATGTACTTCACTCGACCACGGATGAGATCGAGGAGAACACGGTCGCGCAAGCTGACAGCCCGCACCAATCTGGCGTCGACGGACAGCCGTCTGGTGCGGAAACAACGCAGCCTGTTGTCAACGTCGATGAGGGACGCGGCTCCAAGCTGTAAGAGGCCTCGACCAGTCTGCTGTAGTGTCTGTGTGTGTCTGCGCACTTCAGCCAGTGCATACAATATCAGGAGTTGGAACATACACATAGTATGTACCGTGTGAGCAAAAAAACATACGGCGCTTGTGACCAATCTTCAAGTTCAAAGCACTGCCGTTATTTAAGTACGGCGCTAACTTGCGCACTGCGCCAATTCTAGAAAACATGGTGCATCCGTCTCTCTCTCTCTCTCTCTCTCTCTCTCTCTCTCTCTCTCTCTTTCTCTCTGTCTGTCTCTCTCTCTCTCTGTGTCTCTCTCTCTCTCTTTGAACTTGTTGCTGCATGTTCCGTAGCATCCCCCGCACTTTAGAGATCAATCTATGTCCTCGGGTTTTTTTGGTGTTCTTTTGCTTGTGCTCATTACAGGTGCTGTTTCTGTGTGAAGAAGCGAAGGTGACTAGAGACCGGCGCTCGATTCGAACGTATCTAGATCCATCCAGGCAACAACAACAACTGCTGCTGCCGTTACCATTGGTCTGCGTCCGCGCATGCGTGTGTGTTGCATGTGCCGCGCACCGACCGTCCTAGATCACGTAATTCGAGTCCACTCCCGAGCGCTGCCTCCGCTATGTCCCACCGTCCTGTTCTATTGTTTCCTCTCTCGCACACACTCTCTGTCTCTTTCTCTCTCATCCTCTCTTTTTTAAGTTGACTGTGTGTGTGCCTTCTTTTGTTGATGTGGCGGAACGCAAGCTTGTTGGTGCTGCGGCAGAGGCACCTGTAGCATAAACTACACTGGCAGAGTACCCCTCCCTGAGTCCTGCCACCGGCACTGACGTCTCCCCCCGCCGGTGACCAGAGCACTATATCCACTGTGTTCGTCCGGCGTGTCGCCAGGACCCTTTGTCCACAGGCAGAACTTCACGTGGCAAGAGAGCCCGTCACTGCCACTACACTGATTTATCCGATCCTCGTGTACCCGTGGGCTTTTTTTGCCTGTCGCATGCTTCACTGCTGTTCCAAACTTTGTGTCGGCATGTATGTGCGACATCACCTCTCCCCCAGCACATATAGCTAGTTTCGTTCTGTCCGTCTGTGCGTGTGTTTTTTCTGCTCTCTGTTTGTTTTTAACTGACGTATCACCGAGACAGCGCACCTGCGCGCGCCGCGTGTATATATATGATTACCAAGTGTACAATGAAAATCGTGTCTTGTCCCATCTCTTGTGCTGATTTGATTAGATTTTTTCTTCTTTTTTTCCTGTCGTGAACTCAACATTATCATCGATGTACATGTATGTGTTTGGTTTTTTCTTTTTTTTCTTCTTTTTTTTGTGACCTAACTTATATACTGAGAATTCCAGACAGCGATTGATCCGCCGGTTTCGCTTCTTCTTTTTTCCTTTACCCCTTTTCGAATTCAAATTAAGCTTGCCGAAACGTCTGATCTATTTCCGGCTGTTTCCTATCGGTTTGTTTTTCGGTTAGGTCCGCTCACAGCTCGGCTGGCTACTGGATAACTGCATATTTTTTGGCCGTTTTTCTGTATGTGTTCATACTAATGCTATGCTAAAACCTGGATGATTCCATTGTAATTCCTGTCCGTTGTATTGTCTGTGGCTTAGGTGTTCCGTGGTGTAGAGTTGTGTTCTCTTCATGTCTATGTCTCTCTCTCTCACTCTCTCTCTCTCTCTCTGTCCGTGTCCGCCATCTATATTTGTCTTGCTTGTTTGACATTGTTGTTGTTGTCGTCTTGATGTTCACACGTTCCGAATGATTTCTTCATAGTGACTGTGCTTCTCTGATGCGATGTCTTACTCTATTTGCGTTTGTGCACGGGGCCGCTGCGCTCGTTTCTGGTGTGTGTGTGTGTGCGCGCGCGCGTGTGTGTTTGCATGCGATGTTTCGGTGGAGGTGCTTGTAATACGTGATATGCAGGCAGTGGTCTATTACAACACCCTGGTGATATACCACATAATGTGTGTGGGGGGGGGCTGTCAAGGCAACCGACACCCGCCGTCTGTCAGTGTTCCACAACCGCTGTGCTCGGTTTTTCCTGGACGTCAGCAAGTCAGAACAATGGAATGAGCATCTCTCCAATGCCGTCATCTTGGAGCGGGCTGGTTTGCGATCAGTGGTGGTGATGCTGAGGACGCGCCGTTTTCGCTGGTTGGGGCATATCGGACGACAGAATACCAAAGTGCGTATTGTTTGGTGAGCTCCAGAAGACGCGTCCTCGCCACGGGCCACGCAAGCGTTGGCGTGACAACATCGTTATTGACCTAGAGGAACGCCACATCAATGACTGGTACAGCCTACCCGAGGACCGTCGTGCGTGGAGACTGGCCTGCAACACCATCCAGCCGCCTAAACCTGTGCCTCGGGATTTCAGGTGCCACTGCGGCCGAGATTTTCGCCGTCGCCAGGACCTCACTCGCCACTCGAAGTTCTGTTCCGCATGACTGAAACACTGTCGGTCCTTTCAGGACCTGCCATCATCTCCGGATGGGCATTATTGTATTGTGTGTGTGTGTGTGTGTGTGTGTGTGTGTGTGTGTGTGTGTGTGTGTGTGTGTGTGTGTGTGTGTGCGCAGTTGTTGTTCGGATGGTTTGGCAAGGCTCGTCCGGCACAAGGTCCCCGCCTTCGGCTCAAGGACCGTGTTCATCACGACCTACGCTCCTTGGATTCACCATGGTTTGCAACCGCCCAGGATCGACCTTTGTGGAGATCGAGTGTCGTTGATGTTGTGCCTCCACCACCACCGTCTAAGCCAACTGTGCACTGCAGTGTTTGCGACCGCCATCTTAGTGTGTCTGGGTACAAGCGGCATAAGTGCAGTGCGGCCCCGTCAACTTCCTGTCAGCCAACATCCTGGTGCAAAGTCGTGTCAACGTTGTGGTAGATGGTTCAAGAGTGCTGGTGGGCTGAAGGTACATAAGTGCCCTCTCTCAGGTTCCCCCCAACAGCCTTCGGACTCTGTCGATCCTGCATCTCGCCTAGTGCTTCAACACCAACATTGTTGTCCATTCCACTGCTTGTCATGTAACCGGTGCTAAGGCACGCGAGCATGGCAAGCGATCAACAGCGAGGGAGCGTCTTGAGTTCAAGTTCCGCTGTGCGTGCGGCGAGAGATATCGCAGACAGCAGGATCTGCAGCGGCATGAGGCCGGATGTTCTGCCGCGACGCCGTGATGCTACCTACCCCTTTGTTCCCCTCCTCATGAGGGCAGCTTAGCCGTTTAACGGCAGCTGTATGTGAAGGTCAAGGTGTGTGTGTGTGTGTGTGCGTGTGTGTGTGTGTGTGTGTGTGATTGATATCCCGTGCTGTCCTGTCGGCATGCTTGCATGCAGTGCGGTTCATATGAATGGGGGTCATTCACATGACCCAGGTTAAACTTAAACCAGCACAAAGCGATTCTCATGCTTGGCAAAGCTACTGCTTGTAATTTTGTCATCTTGCAAGGATCGTGGCCGGTATCAAGAGTACATAACCATGGTTATGGTTATGTACTCTGGCCGGTATGCATGTACAGTTGTTTGGTTGTGGCCAAAGGAAATCCCACACACGAGTGAAAAGCAGCGCCTCGTTTCCATTTCCGGCACACTCCAAAAAAACCGATCCGAGGCCCGCATACCGTATGTCCGCACCTTTAAGGCCATGGCTGTATATTCGATTATAAAGCCAGTCTCAGTTATAAAACCATGGGCTTCATAAATGAAAATTTTAATGACATTTGAAGTATGTTTTGTAAAAATGAAGAAATAAGGACTATGCTAACAAACTTACAGCCCAGCAGGAAGCGTGAACAAGTGGATTTAAATTGAAATTCTGTGTGGACTTTGACTTTTATGGCATGGCGTAGTGGGTGAGTCATTTTGCATCTAAAATATCTAGGAAAGCAGCGGTGTTTCGAATATAAGGCCATGGCTTTAAAGGCGCAGACATACGGTATGAGCCTTGGCACTGCTTTCGGCACGTGGGTCGGATTTATTTGGCCAGGACAGTATTGCAGCTTTGCAGTGTTCACCCCTGTACTACATAATTACAGTACAGTGGCGATTGGATATAACGACACTCCTTCGGGAGAGAACAAAATGTCACTATATTCGATCCGCCACTAAACCCGATCTTCACAAAGGACTTACTTAACGACTTGGGCAACAGAATTGTGTCGCTAAACTCAACCTGTCGTTATATCCGATCTCCACTGTACTTCACATTTTTGAACAAATTAATGTAAAAATGTGGATAAACAGTAAACATGCAGCAATGCATGCATGCACAACACCCATGTGAACCATTAATTATATTATTGAAGCTACCGTATTATAATCATAGCCTATATAGGGCGAAACAAACGTCACCGTGGATTCATTCTCCTGCATGCAGGGAGCTGCAGTGCAGTGCACACTCTGGATTATTATGTGTAGAACTTTCGTTATAAGTGCCAGCAAGAGTACATAAAGAGTACTCTTGGTGCCAGCATACTCGGTGTATTAGTATAGCAAAGTTCAAAGATTATGAATCAATACTTGGTCTAGCAAAGTCCACAAATATCCAGGTAGCAGCTGGATAGAGAACAGAAGGTTCTCCCAGCAAAAGAAACTAAAGGTCGAGAACTGTAGTATAGTAAATTAAAGTAGTCTAGAACAATTTGACAGAACTATAAATTGTGTTTTGTAGGAGTAGACGCAGACGTAATAATTAGACAGCAAGAGGCTTCGGCACCTCCCAGAGGAAGTTGGGGTTGGTGCGTCCAAAGTGGCCGTAGCTGGCCGTGTCGCGGTAGATCGGTCGGCGCAGGTCCAGCTCCCGGATCATCATGCCCGGGCGCAGGTCGAAGTTCTTGTTGACGATGGCGAGGATGTCGGCGTCGCTGCGCGCACCGGTGCCGTAGGTGTCAACGTGCACGGAGAGCGGGTAGCTGACGCCGATGGCATAGCTCACCTGCACCAGGCAGCGCTTGGCCAGCTTGGCGGCGACCAGAGACTTGGCCACCCAGCGGGCGGCGTACGCGGCAGAGCGGTCCACCTTGGTCGGGTCCTTGCCGGAGAAGGCGCCGCCGCCGTGGGCACCCCAGCCGCCGTACGTGTCTACGATGATCTTACGGCCGGTCAGACCAGCATCACCTGAAGCCACAGCAAGGCACAAACAATGAACAAGTGATGAGTGATTGTTGCCAGACAGTATGACCAGGCTCGGAAGGTGATGCCTGGTACAGCTGACACCCCCCCCCCCTCCCCCAAAAAAACTTGAACAGATACTGAGCGATTGCTCAACAAACCAAATGTTATACACTTAGAAGCTTCAGATGAATTCGTCTATAGCCTGTTCTTGTGTAACAGTTACATACGGGCAAAGAATCAGATGGTGTTTATTACTGCAAACAATTGAGACAATACCATACTAGCAGTTAACCATGCTCAGAGTGCCGTAGAGAGAACATGCAGGACAACTGAAGGCAAGAAGAGATGAAGTTGAAGTACTCCAGCGTATCCAAGGTGACATTCAGACACTTTAGTAGCTTTTATCTCCGAATCACAGACATTCATATGTCAGAGGTGTAAAAGCAGTCATCATAACGTCACATGGGAAACCCAGCAGGCTTGATTTTGCACGCAGCGGTAAAAATTCTCCTAGCAGCTCACCTGGGTGACTGGATGAACAGTGATGGTGCAGAGCCACGAGACCCCCCCCCCCCCCCCCCCCCCCCCCGCATACACACAACTGCTGGCCAGTCGACTACTCACCCTGAGGTCCACCGATGATGAATACACCGGACGGCTGCAAGTGGTAAACGGTTTTGTCGTCGATCATATCAGCGGGAACGACGGTCTTGACGACCTTCTCCAGCAGTGCGGTCTTCATATCTTCGAGGGTTACCTGTCAGCACACACCACAGACAAGTAATGTTATACAGCAAGCCAAGCCTCAGTTCACTACTGACACAAACTTTACCGCAATGCACTTTTCAAGACCCTGCTTGCAGCACAAACGCAAACCATCGCCAAGAGCAGGGATACCAATTTCAAGATCTACACAACGAACACCACACAGACAGGTCACGAATGCACAATGTTCATTCAGAACCGCGTGTGTATGTCACTGACCAGATTGGCCACAGCAGACACCAAAAGCAGAACTAAACAATGCCAACTAGTGACAGCTTCTATTAGCCTGATACAATGCCAACTGATCACACGCACACTCTGGACGTCACGGCTGGTTCAGAGGCAGGCTGATACGACCGGAATATAAACAAACATCCATGCTGCAACAAATGGGACGAGAGAAGGCTGCCAACAGGTCGGGCGGACAGAGAGATGCGGGCTACAGTGGCTCAGCAACTTACGTCAGGGCTGTGCTGGGTGCTGATGACGACGGTGTGTACGCGGCACGGAGTCAGGCTGCCGTTCTTGTTCTTGTACTCCACGGTGACCTGCACTCATTCAGCACATACACCACATAGAGCAAACAATAAGCCCATTGCGCAACGACATAACAAATTGTACCATAAACGCCCCACACAGCCGCCTGGGCATGGATGTGTGGGGCGTTGAACAGTGCATCCCTGATCCTAGCATACTCACATGCATTTCTCATATCTCCCATATTTGGCAATGGGCTTATTGAGAACAACACCATAGTCATCTTTGCTCAGGGTGCCGTACAGAATAAAATGCAGGACAACTGAGAGCAAGAAGAGATGAAGTTGAAGTACTGCAGGATATCCAAGGCGACATTCAGACACTTGAGTAGCTTTTATCTCCGAATCACAGACATTCATATGTCAGAGGTGTAAAAGCAGTCATCATAATGTCACATGGGAAGCCAAATGGGCTTGATTGTGCATGCAGCGCTAAAATCCTCTCAGCAGCTCACCTGGGTCTTGGAGTCGGGCCGCAGCCAAGCGAGCTCGCCACTTCGTCGCAGCTCGGCCATCTTCTCGTTGAGTTTGTGCGAGAGGACGACGGTGAGGGGCATGAGCTCTTCGGTCTCGTCCGTGGCATAACCGAACATCATGCCCTGATCTCCAGCACCGACGTCCTCATCACGACGTCCCACGTGCACACCCTGTGCAATCTCGGGACTCTGCTCCTCAATGGCGACCTGCGCGGAATACAAACACAGAGAGACGACAAGTAACGAGCGATTCCTACCTAGCCGTTGCTGAACTACAGACACAGCATCTCCACACGGTGACATGTATGCCCAGGCAAAGGTTGGAGATGACAGCAAGTAAGGGTTATCACCAAAAAAACAAAAAAAAAAACATTGAAACCTTTTTTTCTAGTACAGTCAGACTTCGCATAACCGCACACATCCGTTTTCCACGAGGACCGGATAAGCGAGGTCTGACCGTAGCACAGTATACAGTACACTCATGTACAATGAAGCCCGTCTAAAGACGACCGCTCAATGGACCTTCAAAACGTGGTCTCTGCTACCAGGTGGACCCACTATCCAGAATACTGTAAAACATGTAATTTTCGGTGTAACTTTAATTTCGGTAGAGAAACCAGGCACCTAAATTTAAATTACACCGAAAAGGCACTAGAGTATGCACTGTATGTGAAGGGAACGCTGGTCACCTAATTCTAAATTGCACCCAAAACCTGGCAGGTCCCTGCCACCGAAATTTCAATGCACCTAAAATTACATGTTTTACAGTAGTTTGACTGGAAATAGCACCCCTTGTTGTGGGATCTGGTGACAAAAATGCTTTTGGTGATCCGAAGCAGGATTCACAGAAGCATTTTTGCGATGCGGGCGAAACTGGGAAGTCCCCAAAACGCATCTATCCCACAGCTCATACAACTGGCCCAACACAGTGGCGTGGTGCAACTTTCGCCATGCGATGCAATGCATGATGTTGACCTTATTTGCAGCAAAGTTGTACAAAGGTTCAAGAGTTGCTTGTAGATTCGTGAAAGTTGTACCCAGCCACACACATGGTGATGTTCTCACCTGCATTGAACTTTGCATTAAAACAGCAAGGCGGGCGTCGGGTTGCTGACTTCTGTATTTCGCGAGTTCGCATCGCATTGACCGCACTGCACCGTCGCATTGCAAAAGTTTCTGTGAATCCCGCCTAAATTAGTGAAATTGAACGGGCTGCGGCATTTTGTTGCTTTGCAATTTGCAGCATACGTGTGTGGCGCAAACCAGGGTCTGTGAAGCAGTGCCCACTGAGCAAAGGTGGCCTTCGGACTGTGCAAGACCGATGCAGTCATCCTATCCCGTACAGGGGATTCAAACATACAATAGGAGTGTGCAGAAAACGATCGTGCAGCACACCACTTATATTAAATAGTTATGCAACACATCTGGAAGACACACGGGCAAGTGAGTGTGTATGGGGCGGGTTCTCGGACTTCCAAACCAATAGCACACTACATCGGCCAGTCTTCTCCCCAACGAAGCCATCCACACGAGGCCAGACAAAGTACAAAAAAAGGAACAGAGGCAATGACAAAAAGAGCACGTTCCAGATGTACATGTACATTCCTGAATCTAGAGTGCACAGGTGAAGTGTGCCGTCATGAAAAAGAACAGTCGCGCAGACCGAGAGGTCTACTCGACTCCAGCATCCACGCACTTCGGTCCAGGATTGCAGCACTTAGACTTTGAGGAATGACTCTTCACTCGCGATCAAAGAAATCCCTCAACTTGAAAAACGAATGTCGGTAACAATCCTGCAAAGGTCAGCCGGGCACCAGATAGGGCACTGCCCTCTACAACTTCACTCCCTTGGACAACTGAGAAACCTGTTCAAACTCGATCACCTAACTTGTCAGCACCACCGCAGGCTCAACATTTAACCCTTGCTGCAGTCTGAGCTTCGATCAAATGTGTCAAAGCAAAAATGACAATCTGTCACTCCCTGATTTCAGCACACACTATGGCTCTGGAAGGAGCAGGGCCACGACAGAAGGAACAATGGGGAAGGGTTTTCTTCTAGCAGCTTCTAACACAAAGCACGAATGGACTTCGGAGGTACACAACAACCTAAAAATCCATTACACTACAAACGGCTAACTACAAGTAGGTGAACACAAAAAA